AGTTTAAAGTTCATGAACTCAGGAAGTGAGGAGTTAAAAGGGGCTTTCCCTTCACAATTCGCGAATGGACCCTGGGGGCTTCGGGAATGCCGCTTCTGATTTTTCGAAAAAAAATAAAAAAAAAAAAATAAAAAAAAAAAAAAAAAACGTTTTCCGCGACAGAACCCGAGTTCCTGACAGAACCCCCGAAATGCCAAGAGCCAGTCAGGCAATAGCCTCAGGGGTTGAAGCCGGAAGCTTTGAGCCACTGGAAGAAGCCATCTGGTGCAAATTGAGCAAGCTAAGATGCAGGTGACAAGCTAGAACTTTGACATTCCGAGGGTGTGGCAAGCCAAGGTTGGCCTGGCTGCCACACCACAGCAATTCTACCAACGGGTTTTTAAACAAAGGCCGCCAAAGGCAGACTTTAGTTATTAAAACAAAGACCACGGCAGGGCCCAAGGCGTGCTTAGGCAAATGCAAATGTGATTCCAAGCGGAAACAGAACACAGCCTTTCGGCCCACAAACACCTTCCCTGCCAGCTTACGGTCTGCTGCCTGCAGCGGCCCACAGCCAATGTGGATCTTACCATGCGAACGTTCTCGTCTTGCTTTTTATGCAGAGTTGGGTCCCTGCAAACCACCTGGGAGGTTCGGCACCAAGCAGTTTCAAGGCAGAAACAAATTGAATTCTTTGGCGACGTGGACTCACTTCCGAACGAGTGGATCGCCCAGAAAAAGTTCAAACTTTAAATTTACCACTAAAATCGTCTTCCCAAAAAGTTTAAAGTTCATGAACTCAGGAAGTGAGAAAATGGTCTTCCCAAACAGTCTAACGTCCAGAAACTCAGGGAGCCTGCTGCTTTGCCCTAAAGCCGTTTTCAATGACCCAGCAAGAGTGACCCGATAGACACGCATCGGGGCCCATTTTGCGGTTGGGCATTTTCCGTGGGGAAGCCAAACAAGAAGGGAGTTAAAGGGTGGTATCCACTGAACAGCTCCGTTTCAGCCGTACTCACGCAGTATTGATTTGGCTGTGGCTCAAACAATGTACCAAAATTGTGCCTTGGTAAATGGAACCAGCATCCCTAGCTCATTCATTCTGACCATACCCATTTGATCTACAAAGTGGGATTTTAGTGAGCCAACCCATTTTCTAACAACAAATTGGAGAAATGCTGACCCGATGCCATCCAGCTCACTTGAAAGGACCTGGAATTTGAAGGTCACCTTCAGAAGGACAAGCATGGAGCAAAGGGGCGATCGGGCACGTCAGGGTAAGTGGTTAGTAAGCCTGCTTTTAACCCGCTTAAGAGACTTCTAACCATGGCCTTTGTGTGTTATAGCCATGGTTAGTGCCCACTTACAACGTACAATGCCCCTTTAAGTAGGCCGAATTGGAAAAACTGCAAAAGCAGGTTGAGACTCTGCGCAGTCAAGAATCCAATCAGAAACAACCACAAACTGGCGGGCTTCCTCTTTGATTCCCTTAAAACCAACCCCAAAACCAACAAACATACAGACCCATCACAAAGTCTTGCCTGAGGAAAACTTGGTTTGGTGCCGTTTTTGGCTTTCAGCCCAGCCTGCTTCGAAGCAATGAGCCTTATCACTTCTCTGAGTTAGGATGGGGCTGTCTATATGGGTGTCTTTTTGTATGGGACTGCCCAAAATGGTGGTGCTCCTGTTTGGATTCCATTCAAAACCACAAAACGGGTAGCCTCGAAAAGGACGAGCCATCCACATGTCCACTAGCCTAGGAAACTGACCTGATCCCAACACTTCAACTGGGAAACGATTCAGAATGTTCTCTACTTGCATGTTTGTTGCCGAGTGGTTAAAGTCGTTCTACCACGGGTAAAACTGACCACACAGGTCAACCCCACTTGGAACTTATACGCGGGTAATCACCTAGAGTACCAACAACTTGCTAACTTCGGTGAACACCCAAGTAACCTGACCATGACACAGGCCGGCCGTTTCGAGTGTTCGGTGGCTCGCTACTCGAGACGAACCGTTTCGGCCGGCCTTTTGCTGCGCCGGCGGCAAATGCGACAAGTCCAGCCCTTTGGCTGCCGGCATGGTGCGAGTTGCGAGACGACCAAACCCAAATCTGTCAAGTCCGTTTCTGGTTTTTGTTTTCAGCCAGCTTTCGGCTTGCTGTGTGTTCTTTGTTCGTTCCTTGGCGAACAACAATAGACATATGGACTGCATGGACATAGTGCTTGAGCCGCGCAGGTCATGCTGTCATGGGGACAAACACTTCGCCTGAACACGGCTAGATCTTCTTGCACACTCTCTCGAACGCTTCAGGATTCTTGTGGAACATACGCCTCCGCGAGTGACCCTAGCTCAGCATCCTCCATTTGCTTAAGTCCCCTGGAAACAAAGGAATATTTCCAGTAGTGATAGATTCCCTTTAAAAAAAAAGAAGAAGAAAAAAAAGGGGAAAACAAAAACTTAACCAAATGGAAGGCATCCCAGCCATGGGTCACACTCTTTGGAATGGCCGTCTCACCTCGACGGCTTTTGACGACAGGGACCTCTGTTCCTGGTCGAGTTCAGAGATGGATCTGAGCGTCAAACCACTCATCCCTCCAAACAACGGTTTATATGACTATCTAGGTCCTCCAGTAGAGCGATTAGAATCAGGGTGCCAACTTCTTTCAGGATGTCGGTTTTAGTAGGGGAAGCCTCCCAACCAAAAACGAAACGAGTGAGAACGGGCGCCAAATCAGCTCGGGGACCTAAAGGGAGCCCTCTTCGCCGATCGGCGGAAGCTCGGAGCTCCGTCTTTTTTCTGAAAGGCATCGGTCACCCATTGAGGCAAAGGGCCTCGGCGAGATGAGACGGCCCATGTCAGGGCGACTGACAGGGACGCCCAATAAAACAAACACGTGGCCATGGGTCAAAAGCCCGGTTAGCCAGTGACCCTCCCAATCCAACCACTAAAATAGGTTCTAAAATGGGTGGTGAATTCACCTACCCCAAAACCGTACCATTGGTTTTGACCACCACAGCCACGTGGAAGCACTGGGGAAGACGCAGGAAAAAAAACCGAGGGAAAACTTGGAGTCCGTCCAGAGTGAAGGTAGGAAACACTTCTCATGGTCTTGCATTTTTCCGTCGTAGGGATGATGTATGTCTCTTCTAGGGTTCTCGATTGAACTTCCCGTGGGTGATACACAATGACCTGTGAAAAAGGCAATGTGTGACTTCCCCGGTGCTGTGGATGGACGCAATCCAATTCGCACCTACCTGGATTAATTTGATTTCCCTACGAAAATACCAACCAATGACTTCAAACTTCAACCATGGTTTCATCTCGTGGTGCGATTTCTGGATTTCGTACCCATCGACGGTGTTGAACATGGATACTTTGGGGACCCAACTTCATGTGCGAGGCTTCTGGTGGCTTGTTGCTTGTTGTGGATCCAGAAGCCCTGTGCTCCATCAAGATGCCTAGTCCCAAATAGAAAACAAAGGAGAAACTCAACCGAACTCTGGCAAACGACCTTTAAACATTTGCAAGGGTAACACAGTGGTATTCCCTTTGGTACCCGCTTCGAGGTAGACCCCTAAAGTGGAAAACATGCCCAAGAGGTGACGTAACAGCCCAGGTTTCCATCATTGCCCGACAACTCCTACGGCTATGAAAAAGACCAAGGGTTTCGCTATGATTTGGCAGCCCCTAAGTTTTCACTTAAATCATCTTCGCACCAAAAGGAAACTCAGGATCGGAACCCGCATAAGGGGAAATATGGGTGTCTCATCTAAGGGAAAACTTTTGGGGCTGGGTTTTAAAGCGAAACCAAACGGATATCACCCATTTTGGAGGTTTCCCTTGGAGACACATTGTGGATGGACGAAATCCATTTCGCAGCACCTACGAAATCCGGGAAACCCGGAATGATTCGATTCCACAAGGAAACACCTACCAACAAAGGCTTCAACCATGGTTTCATCTCATGGTGTGACTTGGATTGCGTGCCCGTCCACAGCACGGACCCCCCTCCCAAAGCAACAGGGCAACATGAAATCCCCCGCCTTCGCATGGAGTGCCCGGAAGGTTTGCTGCCAAAGCACGGCAGCGCCTGAGATTTTCTTTTCGTCGAATCCGTCGAATTGGTCGACTCGCGATGGCACCACTCACTTGACTCAAGTCAGTGCAAACTTTCCGTGTTGTACCACAAACATGGTTTCTCAGTTCTTCAGTGACCCTGGGAGAAAAAAAAGGGAGCCCTTTCTGGGGGGAAGACCATCTTTAGTGGGGCCGCCAAAAAAAAAGGGGAAAATAATGGGTGCCACTGAACAACTGAGGTTTTCCCCAACCATTTTAAAGTCCAGGAACTCGGGAAGTGAGACCGGACGCCATGCGCCCAATCCGTGAAGTTCTTCGCACGACTCAGAAGCGCCTCATGTTCAGAAGCGGCTCAAGAAACAGGAAATATGCGTGTCAATGTTGAACCCAGAACACCATCTTAACTCGGTTGCTTTCTGCTCCCCTGCTAAAAGTTTAACTTTTAGAAGTTTAGTGGAAAACCCATTAGTTGGCAAAAAGTTAAAATCCTAACATCCCTGGGCAAAATGCACCAAAGTTAAATCTAGACGGATCTCCCTTTTGGGGGATCCCTTTTCAGGTTCCATGTGAATTTTCGTCCGGGAAAGGGGGAGCAACGTTGGCCCTCTAGTTTTTGGACCAAGCGAAGCTAGGAACACGGTCGATTCACTCAACACCTCTGAGTTAAGAAACAAGACAAAACGTGGCCCTCCTCCTCCGTGCATGGGTGGCTCGTCTTTCTTGGAGTTGGTACCCTGTTTTGGTTGGTTTTAAAAGGAATTCAAAAGGACCACCACAATTTGGGGGGTCTCCACAAACAAGACACACCCACACGTTTCCCCTTGCAACTTAGATGCTCGATTCGCCAAGTCGTAAGTGGAAAAAGCCACCTGTGTTATAACCCACTACCACGTTATGAACTCCGCTTTTCGCTGGCCGGAAAAAAACGGAGAATGACCTACTTAAAGGGCGATCTGGCACGTCAGGTATGTGACTGATAACCCTTCTACTTAGGAGACTTATAAACATGGGTTTTGTGGGTTATCATGGTTATTACTAAGTACGCCCCTTTGAGTAAGTTACTAACAACTTACTTGGCCCAACCCCCAAGCACCAAGGGAACACGTGTTTGGGGAAGAGCCATCTATGGGTACGGCATGGGTTTGGGCGAATTGCCAGTCTTCCCCGTAGCTGGCTTGGAGTTTGGTGAAAAGGACGCTGTTGTTTTCCCCAAAATGAGCGGTCAAAAATTCTCAGGGTCTACGTGCAGAAGGGGGAGGTGGGGAGTGCGGGTGCTACAACCACGAGTGGCCTTTGCAGGTCTTTTCAGGAAGCACTGGCGCAGCAAGCATGTTACTCCTGAACTTCAAATGTTCTGTCTGCCAGAGACACAGCAGGGATCCTTACATTATACACCTGAGCATTGCCTTGTAAATGGTGGTTTCCTTTGATTTGGGTGTTGAAAAAGCCACATGTTTCAAATGGCGGCAAAATTAATTTCCTTTAAGGACGGAAAAGTCAGTCCACGACCGCAGAGAGCTTTGGGTAAAGAACCAATCACTTTCCCACAGTTTCCAAAAGCAATTTTGTCTGTGAGCCCGGGATTTGGAATGAAGGTATGAAGCTGTAACTTTGACGCAGTTCGAGGAGGTTTTCTCACAAGTCTACTCCCCTACAGACTAATCGGCGGGACTGCAAAACCGCCGTTTGTAGAGGAAACTCCTTTTGGGAATCGGACACTTTTATGGGTTCCAGGTTGATTGCAGGGGAGTAATCGTTTGGATCTGAAGCAAACAAGTTGAAGATCTAAGCACAAGGGCCATATCTGCAACATCACACCGCCAAGAGGAAACCGGCCTTATTTCAGGTTGGACAAATTTGTAATTCACGAGGGAAGATTCTAGGAAGACGTCCGAAACTTGGCTTGCTCAACAAAAAGGGTGGGAAGTGTCAAAATGCCCCCCCCCCCCATACACTTGGTTGACGTTGGAAGGGGAGCAACGATTTAAATCTTAGCAGTTAAGTGGTTGGATTTCAACCACTAAACCACAGCAAGCAAAACGCAAAATGTCTCCCAACAACAACCATGTAAACCAGGGCTGTGGGAAATGACCACTTCTGTGATACAACAAAAAGGGCTTCCCAAAGACTAACCCTCATAAAGGGGGAGATTCCCGAAGGTATCGCAGAAGTGGTTGGATAAACCCCTTGTGATCCCACAACCCTGATGTAAACAGGCCCGTCCACCCGCTCGGCTTCTTTGTGCCCGGCGCATGCGCTCCAGCCACGGGGCCGCCACCTCTTGGCAAGCGCCGGTCAGCGCCTCCCGTCAGGCACCGGTTCGGGGGCCGAGGGACCGATGTCCTGTGGAGGAAATCCGTTACTAGATCCTCCAATAGAGAGGTTAGAATAAGGGTAGCAACTGTTTCTTTCTGTTGTCTGTTTTAGTAGGGGAACCTCCCCCAAAAAAATGTAATTTAAAAGGGCACTACTGGGGGACCTAGCTTAAGAAGCCCTGGAATGATGCGATTCCCCAACGTGAATACCAAAAACACGGAATTTACCCCCTTAAAGAAAAAAGTTAAAACACCCATTTGCCGTTGAACTGTTCTTCTTGGCAGAGCAACATATGCTGGGCTATGGAGCAACCAGGGAAAGGCTGATATCTATCGCCTTGCACCCAGTTTGTTGAGTTGTGTGGGTAATTACCCTTTTTGGATGGTTTAAAGGGAAACCAAAAGGCAACCATCCAATTTTGGAAACCAAAAGGCAACCATCCAATTTGGGTGGGTGTTGTGGGTAATTGCTCTTTTTCGATGGAGGGAAAACAAGATGGCTCTGTTTGGCAGGCAGTGTCAAATTCGGATGGGGAACTGCTTGGAGAAACACATTTCTCTCGTGAAAACATCAGTGAGACCTATTTGCCCCTCCCTACCGGCTTTCTGTTTGCCAAGTGGGTTTGAACCAAACGTTCAAAACCACACACCCTGAACGGCAGCCAGGTTTGGGAAACCTGACCAAATATGAGGGGTTCCAGACTTCGA